ACACACACACACACACACACATATATACAGTGTATATATATATATATACTGTATGTGTGTGTGTATATGCATAATTATATTTATTATAAAGAAAAATAATGGCTATTTTACAGCAACTATATACATATATATTGTTTTAAAAATTTGAGGGAAAAAAGGCCATTTTTATATATTTTTATAAGCATTTTGTCCAGAAAGGATGATTTTAATTACTGAAATAAAGTAATAAAAATGATATGTTTTGCATTACCATAATGCGAATTTGTGGCAGAATTTACTGTAATTGTTCTGAGATTAATATCACAAAGTAATTAGAGTGTTAATGGTCATAAAATAGACTTAATGATCATTAAGACTCATTAAGATTTTCTTTATGCAGTGCAAGCATTTCTTGTTTTTTCATCCAAACACATGCTCTGTTCTCTCTCGTAACACATGGCACCGTTGTGCATCCAGGCTGTTTACCTGTGCTAATGTAAATAAAGGTGACTTGACTTGACTTGACTAATGTGCTTTATGTCGGCTCTTATATTCCAGTCTTGCCGTGACTACCTCTCCCGCCAGGGAACGAATGCCGAGAGCGTATGGATGCAGATCATCAGCCGAGTTCACCAGGTGAAGCGTCACACTTTGTTCATCTGGAGGATCTGTGCAGATGCGGATCTGATGGAGTCACGTGTGGGCAGGGTTTCATCAGTCCTGTGATCTTGTCTTTTCGGTTTTATAGAGTGTCTGTGTGTTTCACCCACCTCCGACTGTCTGGCACAGAAACATCATCTCTGCCTTCGGTTATCAAATAGTCATGGACTGATTTTGTCATGAGAGTTCCCTCAGGAATGTTTTTGCTCAGAGGTTGATCTTTCAGGTCTGGAGACTCGGTTGTGTTTAAGGCAAAACACCCCAGGTCAATAGGGTAAAAAATACAACTAATATTTATCATCATACTTCCCCAGTTGATTAATTGCATTAGGAATTGCAAACTTTTTTTGTATTACAAGTTTTCTGAAATTTTATGTTTAAATATGCAAATGAGGCACTAAATATTTAAATATGCATTAATTTGCATACATTTCCAGAACAGAAATCCGAACATTCAGGTTTAAAATTCTTGTTTGATTTTGTTGACATATTAAATGTTTTTACAGAGAGGATTTTGGAAATCAGAAATTGCTGTCAACAGCCAGAAAAATACACTTTACCGTGTTTTTGTGAATAAAATGTTACAGAACATCAGATGAATATGAACAAACCCCTCAGTAAAAACCTTTAGAATATAGATAGGAATAAAACTGTAAAATTTAGTGTATGTAAGTGTTTCTGAAGTGGAGAAAAAACTCACAGCAGTTAAAGATATGTATTGTAGTTGAAATCTAAAGACGCAAATAGATAAAGTACAGCAATAAAATCAGTGTGAATGATATATAAACAAACCCCTCTATAAAAACCTTCAGAATATAGATAGGAAAAAAACTGTAAAGTTTATTGTATGTAAGTGTTACTGAAGTTGAGAAAAAACTCATTTTGAGAAAACTGCCTTGAAGGATATGCATTGTAATTGAAAAATTCAGACGCAAATAAAGTCCAATAAAATAAATACATAAAAGTACATTTTGCATGTTTTCTTTCCACTAGTCTGAAAAAAAACATTATGAAAAGCCAAATAACCAAAAACCTCAAAATGTACCAGTGCATGAAAAACACAGTGTCTTGCCTTAAGTATCAACTTTGCCTCAGATGTTTCTATTAAAATAAAAATAGAAACAAATGAAGAATAAATCCCATCAGCGCAGCAGTTCTTAGTCCAAACGCTCTTCTGTAACTCTTTCCTGTCTTAATGCATGAACTTCAGTCGACAAGTTTCTCATAACAAGTACGGTTTTCATTGAAGGCATTCGATGGGAATAGAGATACAGAGGATTGGTCTTCTCCTGAGTGTGCTGAAAACCCATCTGACCCACACTTGGGAGAAGTTAAGACAGGTGCGAATTTGCATTTTCAACATTTCAGATTAAATAGCTAAACTCTCACAAAACCTGTCTAGAATAGATTCTGGTCATATTTCACCCTAAAATCAAAAGAAAGAAGTAGTAATTTTTTGTGCATAAAGAAAGCCTTTTTTTTCTTCATTATTTTCATAAATTAAGCTAATTTTTCCCACTCAAATGACTTATTGTAATTTGTATGTATGTATGTATGTGTATATATATATATATATATATAATGTGTGTGTGTGATTTTGTTTTGTTTTACATATTTTATTTTACATTGTATATTATTTTATTGTATTATTTGTATTTACATTTTATCATTTTAAGTATTATTTTAATTCAGTTGTTTTACAATTTATTATTTTATTTTAATGTATTTACATTTTTACGTGTTTATTAATTAATTAATAATGTATTAATTTATTGAAAAGTTTT